AAGGGTTAAGAAAAATTAGGATTAATTCTTTTTTTAATTAATGTTTGAATTTCATTTAAGATCTCATCCATAATGTTTTTATTAGATTCTTTTAAAATATTTACATTTTATATTACTTAATGAATTTATTAGATATGTGTTTTAATTTTATAACAAGTAAAAATTAAATATCGGTTTATTTTTATAATAAATTAATAGTCTTAATAAATTAAAAGTCTTAATAAATTAAAATTAAGATTATTTTTCTAATTTATATTTAAATTACTTGAAACAATTTCATTTACTTTTTGACACTTTGAAAAATTGGAAAGTATCATTATAGACATAAAATCTCAAATCATTATTTATTTAAGTAAGGTTCTGAAAATTTTTGATATAATTAAGTTTTACTTTTGTTAATAAATCAATTTAAAAGATATGGACTTTCATTATACAAGAAAAATTTAGATTATTAAGTTGTTCTAAAAGTGTTAATCATTTATGGAATTATCAATATGAATGAGTATATTTAAATATCATTTTCAAATTATTATTCATATTTTCAATGATCTTGTTTTCCATATTTAGGATGTTGTATTTTTAGATAAGAGTCAAATTCTTATGATATATTTTAGTTCATTTCAATTAATTAACTGAAAATTGATATAGGAGTTCTGATATAATCTAAAATTTATGGAAAAATAACTTTTTCTACTTTCCAATATTCTTTTTATTATTACATAACTTTTTTATCATAATTTAATTAAGGAGCTTAAAATTTTTAATGATTATAAAATATCATACTATTTAGAATATCCTTCGCAATCATTTTCATCAAGTTTTTCTCTTAATACTCTTTTTAATTCTTCTCTATTTTAATTAGATTAAGTAGGCTATTTTTTATCATCATCATGATCTTTATAATAGATTAGATCTTCTAAAGAAAAGTACTAAAATCTTCTTTTTTCTGATAAATTTCTAAAAGCATTAGGATTTAATGTTTAATACTCTGCAAAAATACAAACAAAAATAATATATTAAAAGATCAAAATCATAATTTATAAAAAATTTAGAATTTAATTTCATTATGCATTTTTTACAAAATAAAGATGAATTTTTATTTTATTTATGTTCTATCAAGAATCTTTTAGGTAAATTAATAATCTTATTTTTTTAAATTATTCTAAAGATATTATCCATTAAATAAATTGAAATTTATCATCAAATTGTAAAAACAAGATTCTGGTAGTTTTGAAATTATAGATGAAATGATAAATTAATTTTCATTATCCAAAAAAAAAGAATTTATTTCTTATTAATTTTCTAAAATTTCATCCTCTTCTAAATTTCGATTTAACATTTAACAAATAAATAATGATTTCCTAATTCATTAATTGTATAAAAATGCTTACATTAACAGTATCCCATTAAAAGACTGAAATGGCAATACCTCCTTCAAATATAGCTAACTTTTAAATTTTTAATGTTCATTAGGACTAAAATCTTTATCAGTAAATTACTTTTTTATTAAATAAAAAACAAAAATTACTAAATCCAAAATCTTTAAAAGATTAACATTTATAACTTACTTTTAATTGAAAAATTTTTTAATATTTTATACTTAAAAAAAGCAAATGATGAAATCTATAAAATTGGAGATACGTTTATTACAATTAAAGCAATTATAAACATATTAGAACTCAGTCAAATAAATAAGGGAAATAATTTAGAAATCTCCATTAAATAAGGAACCAAATTAATAGAAAAATTCCTGAATTTCTTAAATTCTTTTCATTTTTTCATAATAATTGTATAAACGAATAAACAAAGATATTTAATTAAACTATTCTGCAACAAGGCCTTTTTTTGTTGTGCTGTCAATCTTTTCTTTTCCTTATTTAATTATATCATTAAATGTTTCTGAGTATTTTTAATTTTTTTGAATAAATTTATTAAAATCTGAGGATATTATTAGATAATCTATTTTTTAATTTATTATAATTGTTAATTGTAATATAATGCTTACCATCCAGTATTAATTTCTTTATTTATTTTTGGATTTTCAATAAATTGTATTTATTAAACCTTTTCCTCTTCTAAATTGTTCTCAATAATATCAAAATTCCACATTTCATCAATATTTTAGCTGTTTTAAAGTTAAAAATTTTTATTAAGAAATTCTTCCTTATTAAAAATAAAGTGAAAATATTTATAATATTAATTAATTTTGTTTAATCTTTATAAAGAGTTTCTTCAGTAAACTTTACTTTAATTTTTTTTAATTTAAATTGTAATTCAGTTTAAATTTATCTATAGGTAGTTGTTAATATAATATTCTTTTGTTATAGAAATATTAATTTAATTTTATTAGAATTGAATATTGTATTCTATTGATAAATTTATATTGAATTTTAGAATTGTTATAAAGTTTAAGAACTAGTTAAATTACATAATAATTGAGATTTACACATTCTATTAAAATTTGAGTACTTTTATTAAATGACCATGCTAATTCATTACTTTTAAGAAAAGCCAGTTTTTTGTCAATATTTAATAATGGAAGCAATAATTTCTTTCATTGGATTATAATATCCTAATCTTTTGAAAATCTAATGCAATAAAAACAGCCCATTATGGATTCTAATAAGATGCTGGATCAAAATATTAAAATAATAAGACTAAAAAATATTAGTTTTTAGATATTTAACCTTGAACTAGAAATTAATTTGTTTGGTAAAAAAAATCTGATTAACTTTTTCTACATAAATCAAAATTTAATAACACAAACTTGCTTCTTGATAGATTTATGAATAATTTATAATATATGATAGTTTATAAATAATATAGTATTGATAAAGAAATATAAATTCTTAAGTATATAAATAAATTTAAATACAATTGATTGCAATGAATTCTGATTAAAATATATTCTGAAATTTAAAAAAATTTAAGTTTAATAGCACTTTTGAATTCTGAAAAATTAAATATATAATTAAAATAAAAAAATGTCAACCCAATAAGAATTACCAATATATAATCAATAGACTCCTTAGTCATTGAGTTAAATATCATAAGTTCAATACCCAATATTAAGTAATTTAATACCAGCTGCTCAATACATACAATTGGATGATGTTTAATAAGCAGTAGCAGAGAAGGCTGTAGTAGCGATAGATGTTAATACAGATAGATAAGAATTTCTAATTGGATACTATAAAAATATTTTAATTTAACATTCAATAATATTTGGATTATTTTTACTTGGATTGACAAAATGGTTTAGTTCATTAGTAGTTAACCATAATTATTGGAGAAGTTAATTCAGATGGACTTGGTTTGTGGTTTTAAGCTTATTGATTGTATTAATATTAGGACTTCCTATTATTAGAAAATATAGATGCATTGTAATCCATATTGTTTTTTATATTAGGTTTCTAAATAATCTCAATTATTCTATTTCTAAACTGCGTTAATAGCCTTTCTTTTGATTGGAATAGCTGGAAATAGTAACCAAAAAAGAGTAAATATTTGGATCATACTTATTTTAATGATATTAATAGTTCATGATTTACTTCAAATTGTTATTGTTAGAACATAAAAAACTCATTATTACACTGTTTTAATGAAATTTACAATTATGGGATCATTAGTTTTAAATTTTATATTAGGATTATCAAATAGATATCTTGATAATGGATTTCCAATTTCAGAAATTATTATCATTTATGTTCTTTATTATTTTAACTAATTGAATGAATAATTATTGAAATAGAATCATGAATTACCAGAAGAATTATCAATTTTTGAAAGAATTAAATAACTTACTTTGATTAGAAATTTGTTTAATTAAGAAGCTAGATAAAATCAAATAATTGAATAATTATAAGACACTCATTGTGTAATCAGCAAACATTTGGCAATTACTATTGGATCATGTGTTGGATATCTTATAGTATTAACATTAAGTATTCTTACTGGAAATGGCTTTTTGATATTCATCTTGATATTTGGATCAATTTCAATGTTAAGTGTGATACTAGAAACATAAGTTGCCTCAAGAGTAATAATTAAATTCTATATTTATATTAGAGTTTGAAACAAGAAGATTCCAAATTTGCAGTTTGTTTGACTTATCTTGATATGGCTAGTCCCCTTAGGTTATTATTGAGAAGTTTATTCAATAATTGAATATCAAATAAAGTATTTCTATAAATATAATTTAAATAAAAAATTATCTACAATTTTAACTTAATATATGTTCATGAATTGAATATTTATGGTTTTAATTAAGTCCTTGTTGAAAATTATATTTAAAAAAGAAAATAAATTTGAAAAGGTTTTTGATAAATATTCTGTTGAATAATCAAAAATCTAAAATATTATGTTCTCTCTTAACTAAATTAAACTCCAAAGTTGTTAAAATGCTTGAGAAAATATAGAGTAAAGAATTTAATTTTAGTGATTTAACTTTTAATATTTACTGTGAGTAACCTTTTTAAGGTATAATTAATAGAGTAAAAGGTTTCATTATAATTGTTATAAAATATTAACAAAGGCTTTTTATATACAATAAACTTATTTGGAATCTAAACCATCTTAACTTTAAATTTTAACTTCAGTCTTCTTAATAAAATTAATAATGAAAATTTGTATTTGCTTAAGTAAAATTAATTGTTGTAGAATATGCCATATAGTTGTATTGATTTTCTCCACTTGCAATTTAAGAGTAGGGCTCTATTTAGATTTATTTTGATCCACTAATATTACATCTAATAAGATATACTCCTATCAAAGATGTATTCTTCATCCTGATACCTCCAAAGTTTCTGTTGGTAACATCAACCTTCATCAGCACTCCCTTTAAACCACATTAAATATATTTTTCATCTATACTAGTGAGTAGTTCTAAAAATTTTTAAAAATTTATGATGCCCTTATTCTCTGCTACTTTCTTTATTATATTTTTTGTTTCCTTTTCATAAGCTTTTGTGCTGTAATCTTTTTTGCTATAGGGATAATCTTAGATTTCTCTTAAAACATTGGTGATTTTGGTAATTTCTTTATAACATCACTAATTTTCTATTGATAATGATTAATGTTTCCTCTAGTCTGTAGTTAGATGGTTATGAAATGAATATATGAAATGAATTATAAGTTATCCAAAATTTTCTCTTTTCTCATTACATCATTAATCATCTTAAAAATATTCATCATAAAGTTCTTCTCTCTTTTTTTTTTTATTAGTTACTTTTTTATTCAATTTGGAGTTTTTGAATAAATTTATTATTATTAGAATATTATTGTGCCTATAATAAATGTGGATTATTTTTAACAAAATATGATTAATTATAAATTCATCCTACTCTATAGTTTAGAAATTCATATTATATTAAACTTAATAAAAATGATATAAAATATTGAAATCTAACGTCTATGTTAATTTTGTGGAGTACTCTTATTTAAAAATATCTTATTCTCATTAGTTTTAATATTTTTAATTGCTTAAAATGTGATGTAGTTATCAAAAGATCCATATTTCTAGAGATCTAATCATCTTATTTTATAATTGTACATATCAATTTACAATTTAAAATTGAGAATCACTTTTAGGTAGAAACTATGTGTTTT